GAGAGAATAATTGTGGCAGTCTGCTGTTAACGAATGACTTGGAAAAACTGCATACAAATGTCCGTTTGATGTGGCTGCGCAAGAAAGCCACTGCAACTACCATATGAAGGACTGTTACGAGTACTCCCAGACAGTATTAAAACCCCCGGAGCCTATAAAATGACAAGGATCACGTGGTTGGGGTGTATGTAAAAGTGCCATGTGGTCGATGCCCTAAACCCTCCTGGGCCGATGCATTATGGTAAATAAACACCGCATTCATTGGATAACGGAAAACACCAAAAATACATCATTTACATTGACTACTCGACCCTATTATAGCAACTGCCACCACTGTCTCAGACAGGAGTAAAACGCAGTTTACACTTGTCTGATCTTCGCCAATAGCCACAGTTGTTCGCAATAGCACCTTACCACCTGTGATTTGGCCGGATAATAGTAGCGTACAAATCACACTCACTGCTCAGCAGCTAAACATTTGCCCTTTCTCCAACCGTAGCGCTCGCTTTCGCCTTCGAAACTCTTCCACCACAGAACACTCTGCGGCTTCGACCGTTCGTGCTGAGCATGCGCGTGAGGATTACTCGACCATCTGGCTCCCTGATGCTGGCGTAAGAAGACGATTTCCGAGTGGCGAATTGCTTTGGCAAAAGTATACTTTAGCACCAAATAGGGTTGGGCAGGTCGTTGCCTTTGTTTTAAGACTGGGTGTCATGATTCAGGCAACTGAAGTTTCACGCGATTGTTACATCTTGAGAACATTTCGGTCTCATTAAATTTTGATGAATGCCCGGGTCTGGTCAAATGAGTTGCGACGTGAAAATTGGCGCTTTTCCTTCACAATGCTGTACTGTGTTTGACAACTCGCATTTTGAGAAGACTTCCAAGCGATCGTGTCTGTTTCTTTACACTTATTTTCTGAGACTGCATTTTGGTTTGTGTTGGCAATCTTACCTATCTTCATCTGGGGCAGAAGATCGAAATAAGTTCAAGGACACAGCCGACTGAAGAACAGAAAATTGGCGTTGACTTAACTGCCTAATAGCTGTCCACTTTGGCGAAGATCATGCGGCAATCGAGATTTGCAATTTGGAACATTGAAAGTAAAGAATATATAAGGCTGAAATATAGCAATGTCTAAAAGCTTTTTTATGATTCATGCATTTCCTTTGAGC